GGCAAAGATCAGCGAGACCATAAAGACGAGCCATAGATAACAAATCGGGTTTGTTGCATATACAGCAAAAAAGTACCAAGTAATTACAAAGTTAATTACTTTGTAGTAATTACAGTAAATTACACAGTAATTGGTTCCCATGTTCTCTCTTAAACCCTGTGTCCTTTGCCTCCTGTAGCAAAAACACTGATTGTTGGACATTTAAAATGACATTTAATCCTCAGACAAACCAATCTCAGATCTCCACCTATCCCCATTTCGTCGTCTGAACACAGCTTTACGCCGAAACCATAAAGTTTCTCTGCTCAGCATAGATCCACCATGCATTCTGAAACATTAATGCATTTTTCCATTTTAATACTTCCCACGTTTTACTGCGCCCCTCAAATTGAAGTGCTGAGGTCATCAACAATAAAAGGACCCCCAGCCCCCCGATTTGACCTCCTGCAATCCACCACTGACACTTATCCTGCCCCTATATAATTTTTAATACCTCTGTTTGCCTACACTTACTTCTAGAGCACAACAGTACACATTTCATACACTGTATTATGGGAGTATTCATCATACTTTCATTTACATAACTGGTCTAGAGTTTTTTTGTTTTTTTCACTCCCTGTGAGGCTATTTGAAAAGAAAATACTAACCACAGAGTGCAACATCCAAATAAAGAGGATTTAATAGTAAAATAGCTATACTGTGACAAGCATCTGAACTAGAATGAGATGATTCAGGGTCTGATGTAGTATAATCCAGCAAGGCACTTAAACTGGAATTCTCTAGTAAAGCACCCAGTTATAAACATTAGAAGTATTGGCTGACCAATATAATCTCAAATATATTAATTTCCTAAATGTTTTACCTACCAACTATTCTTGTATTCATGGATACAAGTAAAGTAAAGTTCAGATCAAGTAAAGTTTACAGTTATTCTGAAATTCCTGAGACAACTTCTCGATATAAATAGATTGGAATGCTTGATAAAAGTTACCATGTGAGTGGGATTCTGCTGGAGGTGGTTTTTAAATTAAATACAGTACAGATAGCGTGTGTATAGTGAAGCCATGCAATATACGTTTGATGAAAATAGATGTCAGGTCTTTCTGCCTCCTCTTTCCTGTTGTGTTCTAACAGGGACTTCCTGTCCAGCGTGGGAGGGTGTGGGTGTCATCCTCTGTGCCTCCCCCACAGCAGGGAGCAGTCGCTACCCTCGCCACACCAAACCCGGTCGAGACTGCTGAGGGGGTGGCGAGAGCCAGCGGCCCCTGGCATCCTCCATTCTCACGCCAATGCCCATTCATGCAAGCATTAGACCTCCATGGCCTTTCTCTCTATGGTTCTGTAGTTTCTGCAGAAAATGTGCCCACTCAAGGCTCAAGTGATGACATCATGTGCCCCCCCCCCCACATATTGAATCTACTCGTCTTTTTCCAAACATCCATGATTATTATCAAGGTCAGCTCCCAGCGACAACATAAGCTACATTCCTCCAGAATATCTTGTCTCTTGTAGGGGCCTTTTACTCTCATAGTTCATCCATAATAAGCCTGTCTGCTCATTTGCACGTCAACAGAAAGTACAGGCTTGATTTGACCACGAATGCACTTGTTTGTCTGGCAGCCCGTGACGTTTGTATTCCTTCATATTTAATTGGAATTTAATTGTCATTGCCCTTCATGCCCTACACTTATAAAAGCTAAGACAAGGAGGTGAGTCAGCCGGGGATGTTTTTGGTCTGGCCCCTTTCCTGCCGTGGGTCCGCAGTGTAGAGGAGCTCCCCGCCGATGGTTGCACGATATACGACAGCACAGCTCTGTCGCACTTCCTTACCTGGTGACAGATCGGTCGAGCCGAGCGTCCAGGAGGGCTGCTGGACACCATGCGACATCCACGGGAAATAACATCAGGCTTATGTCTAATGAGGATATTAATGGCGGCGATGGCATATTCACGACTACCTCTGACAGCCAGACATGCCGGCAGAACAAAAGGAGACATAGTTTTGCTCAATGAGAATTGTATTTGGAAACAATGGGGGCACAATGTTTGCTGCTGAGAAAGGTGAGCAGAGTTCACCTTGTGTGAAAAGATATCTGTTTGACGGTTGATCTTCCAACAAAAAGACTTTGCATTTCAAGTTATTTTAAATTATTCTCTTTCCCCCCCGTTTGAACACAACTTGTTGGAACTTGTTCGGTCCAATGGAAATTTAGAGCACATTTCAATGTTGGGAGATTCATGTAGATCCGATAAATACCCTTTCTGGCTCATGGCGTTCTTTACAAACTGTACCATGCTGTAGTTCCCCAAGATGTTTAAAGAAACAGCATTTCTGACCACAGGTCGATAAGGAGCCATGGTGGAGCGACCAGCTGAGATTCCTTGGCTGATTTAACCCCCTTTGCACAACCAGCCCTTTCAGAAACGGTTTAAATTATGAATGACTTCATAGCTTCAATGGTTTCAATTATGTTCCGGCCAGTTTAAGTCAGCGGCTGACATATTTCAACCGGGAACCACAGTCTGGCTTATGACTTTGGCCCACACTGAGGAATAGTATTGATTATCATTACAATGCTCACGATTAAAATAATAATCACAACAATATTTTAAAAGCCATTCTGTTTAGCTTTCTAAATTTTAATGTGTTTCGAGTATAATGCAAATGAACAGGATCACGCTCGTATGCGCCGATGATCAGGAGGATTATTGATTACAACAAAAGCCTCGTTAAGGCAGCTAATTGGCCGGTCTCTCCGCACAGGGCTGGGGTTAAGAGAGTCAAGAGTGATCCTGCTTTATTCGGTCTCCCGGGTGTCTGCCTGCGTTCTTGTGGTACTTGATGGGAGCCACCGTGTTAAAGTCAAACCTTCCACTGAGGCCGACCTGCCTGCTAACGGCTCTCAGACGAGGGTCAGAGGTCAACCGCTGTAGGATGGCGCAGCACAGACTCTTCCGTCTTCTTTCAGAATTCATTAGTACCGGTAGATTTACCCTACTGCCGAAGAGGTCATTAATTCGTTTTTAATAGCATAGGATGCTACCTTTCAAGTGGCGGTTGGGGGTGGTGAGATGGGCAATGACAGCACCACGCAGGTGTGAAGTAAAACAGGAATTAACACCATGCCTGCATGTTACTAGAGTGGTGAGTAATGGTTTTCAGTGGAAGGGGTGCCCCAGGAGGGGAGGGAGGGGGGTAAATCCTGCAGCTGATGGACAGGAAGTGGGGCCGCGCATGAGCAAAACAGGAAGAGCGGCGTTTTCGTCTCGGCGTTGAGCCATTGGGCTCTGGACAGGTGAAGGCTCCCGGGAGTCATCGCGTCACTGTGGCGATGCGAGGGACACCAGCTCGGCTCGAGGGGGGACAACGGGATGGCACAGACTCCCCGAGGTGCCTCAACCGCCTCACCGTGGGGTTCCGGGTGCAGGGTTCACTAGGGGTCTGCTATTGGATGGACGAGGGCTGCATTGTGCCCGCGTCATCGGACGAAATGGACCTCGACAGGCAAAAGGCTACATTTAAACAATAGCTCGTCATTTCTGGTGTCTAGAATTTTAGTCTCCGTTATATCATCGCAGAAACCCAAGTACTTAAAGTTGAGTAAACATGCTTCAACGCTAGTGATATTACTCTAAAAAGTGTAAACAAAACGCTATAGGTACAGGACTGGAAATTAAGCCCGCCCACTCGCCGGAGGGAAGTAATTTAGATGAAGGGTGAGTATAAAAACCTGAATACCAGTCCTCTGGCTAGTAAAAAAAGAAAGTGTGTGATGGGCTACATTTTTTACTGAACCAAGTTCCACCACTATATATAATTAATTTCTGTTTTATCATTTGTGTTCTACTTGTCACCTTGACTGGATAAACGGTATCAAAGATGGATGTTCTGTGTCTCCTGACCATCACTGACATGAGCTGCTATCAAACTGAGCACCAAGAAACACCACAACTGCTTTATCCATAACAATGAAAGTCTCATTTCTTTCTCTTTAAAGACACTCAGACATTATTACGATATTTATTTTCATAGCCAGCTCCCTAACCTAGAGTGACAGAGCTCAAAGATTCATCCCCTCAAACAGGGATGGCTTAAACAGATGTGAGGCAGCCTCCTCTATCGGCTGGGTTCGAGTTCGGAGGCTGGATTTCCCGACTTTGGGGTGTGAGGGCCCATGCACAGAACTAGCAGTCCGAACTGGGGATTTGGCCATTTCCATGTGCAGGTCATGTGAAAAGGTAATTGTGTTTGTATTACATTTCACTGTGTACATCTTAAATCCCTCCTAAAATTAAAAAGTGGACCATCCAGCACAGAGCAGAAATCATGACAAAAATTAATAGGAACTTGGTTCTTTTCTGTCCACTAGGGGGCTCATACCATTAGTATAATATTTGTCCCAGGTAATTGCTTACATTCACAAAGATAATAGGCAGGACGCAGACATTTTTCAGAGACATCAGCATTATGAATCTTGGACTGTGGAATGCACCCGCATTGCCCTCATCCTGATCTCTCAGAATAGATTTCCTGCCTTGACGCGAGGGCATTCGGCTGGAGAGAACATCGGCACTAACGAGGAATTTCCAAGCGGCCTTCCGCACGGGCTCTTGTTTATTTTAGTGGCGTATCCCATAACTCAAGCGACGGTTTCCCCCGTGCTCTGCACCTCATAGCTAACTGGGCCCTATGTACAACTCCTCGTCGTAACCCGGGCTAATAGAAAACACAGACACGCTGAGATTGCAGGCCCCGAGCTGGGTAGAGTCGCCCGGATGGCTGACACGACCTTGGCACAACGTCTTCAGAGTATTAACTGTTTAACGCTCGTTTATAAACTTGGGGGGAGGAAACGTAAATTGTTCCAGGTCAAGGGTTAAACGATAACTCCAGCCTCTGTGCATGGCCCCATGCAACAGTAACAAGATCCCTTAGGTATCTCATCCTGGTGGTGAAAGGAAGATGTAGGAATGGGGAGAGAAAGAGCAGCTGGTCCTACCTTGGCAGGTGCGACAGACCCTACGGCCGGACTGACGGGTCCCTCGTTCAGACATTCCCCAGTGCAGGAATCAGGCTGTGACCCTGAAAAAGAACCCAAACAAAGTCATTCAAGGGGCCTGAACTCCGGCCATTTTATAAGCTGTAATATGAGGTTTTTTTACAGGACCCTATCTAAAAGAGAGTTTTGCTCATAAAATGCTTTAAATTAAATATATGTATATATAGCAAAATACTGTCTTTATATACAGTCATGTGTCGCTTAATGACAGGGATAGGTTTGGAGAAATGCGTCGCTAGGTGATTTCTACGTTGTGCATACTGTACTTTTACAGTAACTTTGACAGTAAACGTAAAAAAAACAGAAATGGTACACTATAAAATAACGATAAAAAGTACAGCATTGTAAATACAAAAACCAGTAGTATAGTTACTATCATTATCAATATACAATTGTATGTGCTATACTTTTACATGAATGACAGCACAGTAGGTTTGTTTACACCAGCATCGTGAGTAATGCATTGCACAACAACGTTATGCTGGCTTTCAGCTCCATTATAATCCTATTGGACCTCCATCGTGCATTAGGTCTGTCGTTGGCTGAAACATTGTTACGCGACACATGACTGTATAATCAATACACATGTATCATTATACAGCTGATTAATTAAATAAACCATCTAAACATCATCAAAACAATATCCCCTTCACCAATTTTAATTACTTTCTTGTGACTTGTTACTTTCTAGCCTTGAAGAATTAAAATAGATGTTAGACATTGACATTTTGTACAATTTCCATGCTATTATTTTTCGAGTGAATATTTTTGTATAATAGATCCTACACCTACAGTGACTTAATAATCTATAAAATAAATTAATACCGTTCCTATGGGAATACATATTATAAATTGTACAGTGTTTATTTCTACCATAATCAACAACAGAAATATGTCTGGCAGAGGTGGAGACTTGAGTCACTGACTTGTGACTCAACTCGGTCTCAAGTCACAAATTTGAATACTTGTGACTTGATAAGCAAAACTGATGCAAAGACTTGGACTCAACTTGGACCTAAGGGCAAATACTCGAGACCTGACTTGGACCCTATGACTCGAGAAGACTTGAGATTATAGTCCCTGTCTGGATGCCATAACATTAATTTTATCATTTCAGTGTATATTAATTCTCCGCTGTCTGCATTTTCAATCAGCTGAATGCAAGGTCTCCTGAAACAGTTTGCTGACAGATGCATCACTCCCTGCATATGCATGGACATAAAAACTGTGTGAGGACAACCATAAGTGCTCACTCTCTTTTCAAATGTGGTGGCTTTGAGGCTATTAATGTGTACTGGCAATTGGAAAGTTGCTGGTTCGAATCCTTGAGCAAGGTCCTCAACCTGCAGTTGCTTCATCCTGGGTATGATGTTAATTTACATCCAGCCCCGCAAGCAGGGTTGGTGGCAAGATTGACACTCCAGCCACCAGAAAAAAACTTCCATTCGGACGAGTGTGATGCTGAGCTGTCACCTGTCCCACGGGTGCTCTCAGGCTCGCATGCCTGTGGCGGCTGGTTGCATGGTGGGTGCAGCAACGTGCTGGATCAGCGTGCTCCTTACCTACCACCGCCTATAAAGAATGTATCCTATGATGTACTGTGTCAGGTTTTTTCTGCAGCAAGTTTTAATCACTAAAAGTAAAAACCTGACTTAGGTAGGGACTGAAGTTACATGACTCAACTTGGACTCAAGTCACAAATTCGATGACTTGTGACTTGACAGCAAAAAAGATGGAAAGACTTGCACTGGACTTGAGGGCAAATGACTCGAGATTTAACTATGACTGCAATGTTTTGGCTTGAGACTTGACTATGACTGCAATGTTTTGGCTTGAGACTTGACTTAGACTCTCCAAGGAATGACTTATTCCCATCCCTGACGACTGGTATAGATTTAAATAAATTATAAGGAATTCTGGCAAAGAAAATCATTGCATGAAAGTAACAAACACCAGAATACTAATTAAAGGTACTAGAAAAAAAATACTTGGAAAAAACTTTGAACACTGCAGTCTACCAACTTGGATGAGAGCTACCATTGGTTTATGGACACTGTAAAATAATCAAGATAATGGGAATGGGGTTTCAATGTTGATGGTTTTATTAGACCCCCACCATGGGCTCCACACAAACATTTTGCAGTTATGCTGAAAAAAATCCACAAATGTGACAGTCACTTCTAACATCCATCTGTTTTTCAGAACCACTTACCCAGTAGCGGGTCGCAGTGTAACTGATTCCAAAATTGGTATCATGGGTTTTGGAGTGAATGTGTGGGAAGCCCCTTAGGTATCTCCTGTCTCTTTTACTGCAGGTGTGTTTTATCAGCCTTCAGCTACATTTCCATCCATCTTCCATAACCTCTTATCCAGCACAGGGGTGTATGTGTGTGTATGTGTGTGTATGTGTGTGTGTGGGGGGGGGGGGGGGGGGGGGGGTGAAGCCTGTAACAAAACCAGGGTACAAGGCTAGGGACACCCAGACCATCACAGCGTGCAGACGTCCACAATCACATGCTAACAGCAATACCGAAACAAGTATTTGGACTGTGGGAGGAAAGCTACCCAAGCCCAAGGGGAACATGTAAAGTGGAAAACGATCACAGACCCACGGGGTGGGAATTCAGTTCATAGTCCTGGAGGCGTGAGGTCACAGTGATGAAAAGAGCCAAAGCTGAGAACACAGGGAGTGAGTCAGCAGAGCCAGGAGAAGCAGGCTGGAGTTACGCGAGCATGCAGACCATGGCGGCCGCTGCCCGCTGCCCGCCCCCCCACTGCGCAAACCACCTGACGTCAGCACACTGAATACATTGTATTAATGATACAAGTATCATCACTGAAATTTCAAGCAACTCCTTAGCAAAAGGAAAAGTATTTCACTTTTTTAAAAACTATAATCATAGAAAAAATATTTCATTATCATTGAGCTGTAACTGATGTGTGCTGTTTAGCAACAGTATAAAAATTACTAATGTAACATCTTCGGGGCATTGCTAGAGATTCTAATATTATATAATAAGATTATAATATTGGGCCCCCAACCCAGACCAGTCCAATTGTGGGGACAAGTCTCTGCACCCGTGATGGAAGATCGCTGGTACAAGCCCCGACCACGACAGAAAAGTCACATGTCTGAGGTCCCTTGAACAAGGCTCTTAACCCCCCAGTTCCAGGGGCGCCGCATGACGGCTGACCCTGTGCTGTGGCCCCTGTGCTGTGGCCCCTGTGCTGTGGAGAGCACGACGGGGTAGGTGAAGAGACAAATTCCTATGTACCTGTACTTGTGCAAGGGACAATAAAGGATTATTATTATTTCAAATATTTGGGCCCCTGTGACTCCGGGACCCTTGGAATCATCCTAACTTACCCCCTTTACGGGGTGCCTAAATATCACAAACGATTTTTTAAGAGGATGGATATAGAATCTTTTCTTACTTCAGTAGAACATGATGCACAGATGCCATTATGGACTTTCAGCAGGAGGTAGCAGCCAGTACAGTAGGTCTGCATGCCAGACACCACAACTTATGGTTCGTCTAGCCTCAAATGTCCCAGTCTTTCACCACGGGGGTGGGCTGCAGTCGTTCACTCCCAATCATGCACAGTGGAAATCATCCATTCACAGATGATTTCTGCAGTGAAAGTTATTCCTGAATGGGGGAAAAAAATACCCTCTTTTGCAAGAGTATACCACGACCTAAACAGCATGGGGCATCAGTCTGATCCTGATTTCTAAAGTTCACAACCGTCAAACAAAATCAGTAACTGGCAAAGTGACGGACACTGATTAACGGTGACAGGAATCACATTTTCTCTTTTGCTCGTTTAACGGCTTTCACATATTTGCGCTGCGCGATCACGTCCGAGCGAAGCGGCGGCACAAGCTTCTCATCCGAGAACTGAAAACAAAGTCCGGCGGCTGAAGCTGCAGGGGGCGACGAAAGACATCTTTGAATAGCATCAAACCAGGCGCCCGTTTGCTCAACATCATCTGCCGGCTCCATCTTGTCCGGCCTCACGCCGATTGCCACGGCTGACAGGTGATCTACGTTCAGCGCAAAGTGTTCGGACGGCCCTGGGGGAGTCACTGCTGAACGCTTCAGCATCCCCCCCCCCCCCCCCGTATTTATGTCCTTTCTGCCGTAGTGGAATATTCCATATGATAGCAATTTGGTTTCTCTGCAGTCCTTATGGAGGAGTGCCAGAGTTTCTTAGCTACATGTAGGAAAGCAGTCTGAAGTCTGAAATGTTAAACTGTGCCAAAGCTTTTGAAACCAGAACGAGTGTCAGATAACTTCAACTTTAATTGAAATGGGCCATTTAGAAAATGCAGATATTAAACCAGAGCTTTGAGATGCTGCACAATTAAAGTACCCAAACCATTGAATGTATATACTAAACAGTAAATAAAACATCAAGTAAACATTTTATTTATAAACAATCCATAAACCCACCCATATACCATACCACTTCCAGCAACAGAGTACTGCAGTGGTTACGAATAATATTAGATTATATTGTATTTAGATTCTTATTTCTACATGGAAAGTTTTGGCTTCTGAGAAGAAGCCAAAACTTGTTTATCCCAAACATGTTTATCTGAAAACATGTTTATCTGAAACATCCCAGAGGAAAACAATACTTATTATAAGTGGACAGATTCTGCTGAAAACTGCTTGCACATAGCATAGTTACGTATGTTAATATGGTGCTTGCTGAAGTTAGAGCGATGGTACATACACTGGGGGGACGACCATCAACCTAGTGCCGATAGACAGCTCAGCTAATAAAACACAGCCAGGCCTGAGCGGAGTAAGAGCATCAAGGTCAGCTGGACAACCTTGTGTTGATAGAGGTTTATCTTGGCATTTCTATAGTTAGAACTGTTTCATGTTTGGTCCACATTCCATTAGCATTTTTGTCAGAGGCAGATGTTAGTCTGCTTTAGAGTGTGATGTCACAATACGGACGCACTTAAGAACCGAGTTCGAGTTCCGTTCCTACAACTACGTCGTTAGTCGGT